GAGAGAGAGAGAGAGAGAGAGAGAGAGAGAGAGAGAGAGAGAGAGAGAGAGAGAGAGAGAGAGAGAGAGAGTTGAAGGTTGTTGTTGGTTTCCGGCCATAGCCCACCAAACTGTATATATACGACTCGTAGCATGAGATTTTGATTTTTGAATCGTATTTCAAATTTTCGATCAATTTTCAAAGATCTCGTACTTCTTTTTGGAGTCCACGGGCCTCGGCTCACCAGTCACCAAATGCACAAAAGACAAACATTATGGCGGTGTATCTTTCCATGTTCTAGGGGGAGATTCGTTCTCATTCTGCACATTTGGTGAGCGGTGTGGCCAGGCCTCGTCTCTTGTGTGAGCTTTCATGCGTTTGAGGTTTTTCATCGGTGTGTGTTGTGTGATGTTGTGCGAAGTGTGGGCTCATTCACACGCAGATGACTTTCAACTTTTCTTGTTTTTCCCCCTCCACATTTCTTGTTTTTCCCCTCCACATTTCCTTTTTTTGGGAGCCTTTTTTTTTTTCCTCTTTGTTTTCTTTTTCTGGCTGCACACTTGTTGACAAGTGCCAAAAACAAAAAACAAAAAACAAAAAAAAGTGCACGACTTCGTCCCAGGTATATGCCATTTTTGAAAGCGCTTGCAGCATTTGCGAATCATATGATATGTCTTTAGGGGGAATTTGTGTTGGATGTTTAGCAAATTAGCCCCTATGTACGGTAATTACGCCTACATTTGGGCCAACGTTCCGTCTAGTTACAGCGATATTTATCATCCCGTCTTCACCCGAATACCATCTTTACCCCAATAGAAAGTTACGGTAATTACGCCTGCATTTGGGCGAACTTTCAGTCCAGATACAGCAATATTCATCATCCTGTCTTCAGCGGAATGCCATCTTTACCCCAATAGGAAGTTACGGTAATTACGCCTGCATTTGGGCCAACTTTCATCCAGGTACAGCGATAATGACTATCTTTTATTTCGGGTGACGACGGTAGGTTGGCTCCGCCGGCATTATGGTGTCTGTGCAATGTGTGTGGCATCGGTTAGTTTATTCTTATTTATTATTATCATTTTAGTTCTTGCTTTCACCCATTCTTTGAATTTCTTTTCATTTTGAGTTCGTTATTACGAACTAATTTGCACTCTGAAGTTTGGACTTTGAAGTTTGAAGTCAACAGACTCAAAAAAAAACTTCTGCAGTCAACAGACTAAAAAAAAAAGACTTCTGAAGTCAACAGACTCAAAAAAAAGACTTCTGAAGCCAACAGACTAAAAAAAAAGGACTTCTGAAGTCAACAGACTCAAAAAAAAGACTTCTGAAGTCAACAGACTCAAAAAAAAAGACTTCTGAAGTCAACAGACTCAAAAAAAAAACTTCTGATGTCAACAGACTCAAAAAAAAAGACTTCTGAAGTCAACAGACTCAACAGACTCAACACACTTAAAAAAAAGACTTCTGAAGCCAACAGACTTGAAAAAAACTGACTTTGAGTTGGTTGTCAATGCAATGCAGGGTGTACTCAACATGGTGTTCGGTGATGCGCCTGCTGTGGGAAAGGCAATCCTGGAGAGCAACCAAGTGAGTTTCTGAACCTAGTCTCAATTTGCTGCATGGTGCAGTCAATCCGTGCAGGTTCCCTGAACCCGCCCGGGCCTGGTTACCCCCCCCCCTTCTCTTCTGCGGCTGAGCGACTCTGGTGACCTGAGCTTAAATGCCGATTATCGCATGAATATGCCCAATCCCTTAAAGAAGAAACCGGGTCCCCTGCGGTGGGAGGTACTTTTGGGAGAGGTGTGGCAGGCAGACCAAACTCCTGCTGGCGCTCGTCAAACCAATACGGCATAGGGTGCTGGACGAAATCTCTGTGTGTGGGCTGGCAAACCAAAACACAGTTCAGCACAAATCGGGTCTCCCGGTCCCTCATGAGGGGTAGGCATGTACACGAAACCGAAACATTGTAGGGCAAAGCGCAAAGAAACAGGATCGATGTGCATGCCGAAGTCCCTGGCAAAAACGAAATGGAGTTCAGTGCAAAGGCTCGGGGTGGGGGGAAGGGCAAGCGGGGGGAGGGGGGAACGGTGCAGGGCAAAGTCAAGAAAAGAGAGAAAAACTGTTCCGCACAGCTCTCAGGCTAGTACCAGTTGTTTGCGCGACTCAGCTGGTCTTCCAGGACAGGAGGGGTGTAAAGAGATTGTTTGTGTCCGTGTGGTTTCGCCACACACACACACACACACACAGTCACACACAGTCACACACACACACACACACACACACACACACACACACACACACACACACAGAGTTCAGCGAGCAGACAGGGTATGGCCACAGTGCGTTTACTCTGAGACAAGTAGAGGGTGGAATCAAGTGATGGTACATTTTGCCTATTTGCTGTAGAAACCGGAGAAAACCTATAAAGAAAAGGAATGATTGGCATTTGTTGGACGGCTCTCTCTTTTTCTTTCTCTGTCTCTATACTACTTCGGTTCTCTCTCTTCTCTCTCTTCTCTGTCTTCTCTCTCTTCTCTCTCTTCTCTGTCTTCTCTCTCTGCTCTGTCTTCTCTCTCTGCTCTCTTCTCTCTTTCTGCTCTCTCTCTCCCCTGTCTCCCTTTGCCTCTCTCTCCTCTCTCTCTTTGTGTTTTCTTTGCATCCACCGCAAAACACCATTGTAGAGTCAAAGATTTGCCTTCTGTAAAAAAATACCATTGTATTCGAGGAGTGAAAGACTTGCAAGGAATTCGTAATCGACGTAGAGGCAGATCAAAATATGGCACCAAAAAACCCCAAATTGAAATATGAACCGAAAAATCTCACAAGTCTCGCTCTATGAAGAGAAGAAAAGAAGAAAGAGAAGAAGATAACAAGCTGCCCGGCACAGACAGCGGACACATGAGGACAGAGATCAAATATTCACAACGATAGCCACGCTCCGTCTCACACGTATATATACGTACAAAATCATAGCAACATCCAAAATTCTCGGAACTAAGTACAATCACGCGGCAATTCACCAACGTGTTTTGTAGATAACAAAATAATGAACTAGGTACGTGTTTTGTCGAGGTAACAAAATTCCCTCAGGACGTGTTTTGTAGAGTTTTGTAGATAACGAAATTCTCGCATGTGGACTCGTCAGGGGGAAGATCCCCTAGAAGAGCCCTTCAAAGTTCATTTTTTTATTTTTATTTATTATTATTATTATTGTTATTATTTTTTATGACAGAATGACTGTGTTGTCCTGTCGTCCTGGTGATCATCATCACTCTTCATCCCTTTGTTTTCCGTTTTTTTCTTCATCTTTTTCAATCAGGTACGGAAGATTACTTTCACAGGATCAACAGCAGTGGGAAAGCTCTTGATGCGAGGCTCTGCTGACACTGTAAAGAAGGTGAGGCTTTTTTTTCCCCTTCTTTAGTACGTCAATAAATAAATAAATAAATAAATAAATAAATAAATAAATAAATAAATTGTTGTCAAGTTGTCAACTACATCCATTCGACCTTGCTGACAGCTCTCCCTCCACCCCTTTATTTGCCAGTTTAGGGTTTGGGGGGGGGGGTGGAAAAGGGGATCAAGCCTTGATGCAATATGCCACCATTTACTGGCCTCGGATTCAAACTGTGAAGTTCTAAATTTGTGACACGAAGAAGGACAGGAGAGGAGAGAGGAAAGAGGAGGAGAGTAGGAGAGTGGTAGTAGTATTAGGAGAAGGAGGGAAGGTGTTCGGGGGATGTAGGTTAGTTGCAGGACAAAGAACCTGGCCTCAGGTGTATACATACTCTATACTAGAATGTAGCGGGCGGAGGAGTTGGACTGTTGTTGCTAAAGCTGGTTTGGATGCCTCGATTGTTGTCTCCTCCTGTCTTATGAGAAGCTTGAGTGCGGATATCCTCGATATCCTTCCCTTGGGACGTCTGTTAAAAAGGAATCGAACGATACAGAGAAGCTTGATTTGAATGATCCTGTCCAAGGATTACACGCATAAATCCCAAAATGATCCAAAAAAAAAAAAAACAAAAAAAAAAAAAAAAAAAAAAAAAAAAAAAAAAAAAAAACTGACGAGGTCAGTTGGTACACACCTGAACCGTTGAGATGCAGACCTGAGATCGAACTCTACAAGAAGCAGATGAGTAAATTAATAATTACTAATTTATTACGAAAATATTAAAAATAGTTTAAAATAATATAATTGAAATTCTAAGCCTGAATTACCTAGGACCCGTCAGTTCGATGATGATATCTCAAGGGCTGTCACTCTTTGGGAAAAAAAAAAAAAAAAAAAAAACAAGAAAAAAGAAAAGAAAGAAAATCCTGGCTATCCTCTTTTTGTAAGTTTTTCATTTATAGGGGCTGTCCGGGGGAAATGCCGCATTGCGATATTGTTTGCTGCTCTTTACAGCAACAGCGGGCATAGCCTGGTGCACACTAACGGTGGCTGCATGCTATTATGCTTATCGTTCATTGTCATTGTATTTGGGCCAACTTGCAGTCTAGATACACCGATAATGACCAGGCATCCTATTCAGGTGAAGATGGCGGTATGCCTCCATCTCCTCTGCTCGCGAGTTATGCTGCCGTCCAAATACAGCGGTAATGACTGGGTGTCCTATTGTCGCTGTATTTGGGGCAACTCTCAGTCTAGATACAGCGATGATGACCAGGCATCCTATTCGCGTGAAGATGGCAGTATGCCTCCTTTTCCTCTGCTCGCATGTTATGCTGCGGTCCAGATACAGCCGTATCGACTGGGCGTCCTATTGTACCTGTATTTGGGGCAACTTTCAGTCTAGATACCGCGATAATGACACAGAGCCCCCATTGTAGTGTCCTGTGCTCTGTTTCAACTTATCTGTGTACGTAATTGCGGTCAGGTGCATCCATCCCTGGCCGTAAAAGAGATCAGATACATTCAGAAAGTCCCCGTGCAAGTATCCCCTTGGGGCAGTGCCCGCAGTGTTATGTGATCTGTTACTCTCCGCATAACATCCATCGTGCATCTGGTCCTAAGTCCTCTGATTCATGTTTGTGCCTCGGACCGTAGCAGAATAACGTGGACTTACCACTCAGATTGAAAATGCCAAAATGGGCTCATCCTCCGAAGTTGTCCGAACCAGTGAAAATTGTATAAGCAATGTTCGATAAGCAGGAAACCACATAAAAGTACGCCCTAGCCAGCGACCGCCGAGCTGTTTGGGATCCTCAGAGACTTTACGCAACGCATCTCACTAGAGAAAGGAAAGAAAAGAAAAGAACTTGAAAAAAAAATTAGGAAAAAAAAGAAAGAAAGAAGAGGAAAAAAAAAAAAAAGAAAAAAAAAAAGAAGATGGGCTCATCCATGCTGTACTTTAATGCTGATGAGCTCAGGCTGAGCATTGAACCATGACTAACCTCTCGGAGGTGAGGTCGAGAATCGAACAAGTAACATTCCAGGTTCTTCGGAGGATCGGGGCTGTGAGACCCCAATGACTGGCGGCGCGAGCCCAAAAAAAAAAGAAAAAAAGAAGCTGTGCTGATGCCACGGCAAAGTCCGGCGCGCGGGGGGGAGGGGCAAAAACAAGGGTGCACATTCACGCAAAGCGCCATGCACGCGGTCAGTCAAAGAAGCAGAACCCGCAAAGCGGGATGTCCAATAGGAAATATTAACGTCATACATGTCCCATCCCGTCACCCCACCTTCACACCAACAACCCCAAGAACCACCGATCTTCCCAACAAAACGTGGCGGTAGTTGTCGCCAGCGGACAAAGTCAGCTGGAGACGACTATCGCGCAAGACTGCCAAGTGAGAGGACCGTAAACTTCAACTACAACTAAAAACTATTAATGGTATTTACTACTAAATATTTACTATTTAATACCTACTCCTACTAGTAGTCCACAACCACATGTAGAGGGTACTTGCTCTTCTTTACAACCACATGTAGAGGGTACTTGCTCTTCTTTGTAGGAGTAGCCTAGTAGGTATTAAATAGACTCTACAGTGAACAGTCACAGTAGACTGGTGGTAGTCAGTTTCCAGATGGGGCCCTTCTTTTTCGATAAATTTTCATACAGAGAACAGTCGCAGACGACAATTAATACCTCAAAGAAGCTGTAGCAAGGAAGGGGGGGGGGGGGGGGGGGGGGGGGGGAGTCCGCTGCCGACACGGCTTTGGCGAAAAAAAAAAGGCCCAGAGTTAGTACCGGTGGTGGTGGTAAAAAAAAAAAGGGACTTCCTCAAAAGGAAGAGAGAGAAATGGTAGAAAACGGGGAAAATTTTTCAAAATTTGTGAGAGCATATACAGGTGGGTGGATGGATGGGTGATGACCACCACCTGTATATGCTCACACAAATTGTCTCACATTTGGTCAGGACTCAGGGGGGCTCCGTGGATCGGAATGGCCCTGCAACGATGCCTGTTTTGTACTTGTTGTTGTGGAGGTGTGTGTCTGAGCGCATAATCACACTAGCAGTTTTTCCGGAATGCATCGGGCCGCAATTACGGTGAGGCCACGATGAATCTGACTGCAATTAAGTCCAGAGCTTTGTGGAAAACGCCTTCGTGTGAGCGAGTATGGCTCAGAATGGCAGTACGGCCTAAAGTTCAAAAGGTGTCAACACTGTCAAGATCTCTGGAGACGATATCTAGAAAAAATGCGTCAGGATTTTTTTTTTTTTGGGGGGGAGATGCAATGAATCAGAACGTGGCAAGATTTCTGGAGCATTTCTTCTTCCAGGAAAGTGCGTGGTTGCGGTCTGCTGACTCAAAGTTTGATGTTGACCCTTGGAATGCAGATCTCCTTGGAGCTTGGTGGGAATGCTCCCTGCATCATCTTTGACGACGCTGATGTCGACGTGGCGGTCCGCGGAACGGTATGTCTGGTTGCGGGGCCCTTTGTCAGAATGCCAATTTAAGTCCTGATCTGCGTTTTATTCTTCTGCCTTTCAAAACCTCATCGATAATCCTAAAAAAAACAACTCTCTCTCTCTCTCTCTCTCTCTCTCTCTCTCTCTCTCTCTCTCTCTCTCTCTCTCTCTCTCTCTCTCTCTCTNAGAGAGAGAGAGAGAGAGAGAGAGAGAGAGAGAGAGAGAGAGAGAGAGAGATTGTCCACTTTCAAGAAAGACAGTACACAATTGTCCATTTTCTTCAATGACAATATAAGAAAGCTCCCGGACATTCAAAGATGGTTACTAACTTACTAGCCTTTTTTTTTTTTTTTTTTTTACTAGCCATAATTGTTTTCTGTCTCACATCTTTTCCTCTTCCCCTTCCTCCTCCTCCACATGCTCGTGTGATGCATGCCTCTGCTCCTTTGGTATCTTTGCTTCCACCATTTTCCAGATTAAAAGCAATCTCCTCTGTGTCATCTTCAGAACAAAGTGAATTTGTGTCACTCTGAAGTTTGAGGGGGAGTGCCGATAAGATCAGAAACTGAACAGAAAAAAATTCAAAAAACTAAAATAAAAAAATTGGAAAACATGTTGATATAGAATATTATAGACATACACGTGATGCAAACGTGAACTATGTGTGAGGCTTTACATATCACAGTGAACACATGGAGTACATGGCGTGTGACATCCTGTGCCACGATGATATAGAGGGAAACTCCTTCCTTGGTTTAGGTCTCTAAGGGACCTGTGTGTGTGTGTTTTGAGACGTCTGTCTGTGCGCTCCGCTCTGCTTTCTCTGTGTGTGTTTTGAGACGTCTGTCCGTGCGTGCTGCTCTGCGTTAATGTATGTCATTAGCCCTCTCATCTGTCATCTAAGTTAGACAAAAGTATTTTGGCAATTCTGAATCTATCACCAATTCAGGTTCGAATTTGGAAATTTTGAACGCACACTGTGTGTACTATGTACGTACTATGGGGCATCGCTCCGCTTCACGACATTCTAAATGAATGAATGAATGAATGAATGAAAAAATGAATGAATGAATGAATGAATGAATGAATGAATGAATGTGGACAGAGACTGGACATGATGAGAGAGGCGCAGTTTTGCCCCTTGCAGAAGGGGAAAATTTCCGGAAAAAAAAAATCGAAGAAGGAACTAGCAACATCTGCTTGTGAGAGGCAGACTTATCTGCTCTCTTTATGGCTCTGGGAAAAAAAAGAAGAAAAAAAAAAAACATTGAAAGCACTATCTTATTATCTTCTTGCATCGTAGACATTTTGAAGTTCAGTCTGGCCATGAGACACTCGAGTGAATTAGGGCACAAAGTCTGTCTCTCCGATGCACGGAAGATGTAGATGACACTGGATGCAATACATCCTCTGTGTGTGTGTGTGTGTGTGTGTGTGAGAGAGAGAGAGAGAGACAGAGAGACAGAGTGAGTGAGAGAGAGAGAGAGAGAGAGAGAGAGAGAGAGAGAGAGAGAGAGAGAGAGAGAGAGAGAGAGAGAGAGAGAGAATTTGACATGACTAACTTCACCTTGCGTTATCAGAAAGGAAAGAAAGGTTAAATGCGATGGTTCATGAGGCAATACAAAAAGAGTTGATTTCCTAGGTGCTATACTAGCAGCCATAGCAGCTATAGAAGCCATAGGAATTACTCATTTGGACATTCGACTTTAACCATTCCTCGCGGCAATTTCGACGGTTTGTGAACCGAACTCATCAGGCCCTAGTGGTGGTGGGAAGCCGGTAAGGCCCCACGATTTCAGTTCAATGCCGAAATTGCAGTCAGCAACGTCGAAGTTAAATGCCCCAAGGGTTTCCCACAAAAGGATGGGCGTAACTATTATGGCACCAAATGAGGAGATTCTCAAAATTTCATTTTGGGGTGAGTGCCATGCCACAGCGGGGCACACGTCTTAAAAAAAAAAAAAAAAAAACGCCAACCAGGCATTTTGGATGCAAGGAAATGTATACAGACCGGGTTCTAGGTCCCACTTACACGAATTAAGAGATATCGACCGTAGATAGCACAGATCAACGGTCAGAATCTCTTAATCCGTGCAAGTGGGACCTTGCCCCGGGGTTGGGTGTGAAAAGTGCAAGTGTCAGGACTGCTCTGATACGGGATGCACACAAGGAAGGGAAAAAAAAAGAAAAAAAAAAGGAGGGAAGCCTATGTGAATCAGTTGCAACAGTTTGGTAGTTGGGTAAGAGAGTACTAAGAGGGCATACTCACACGGGGACTTTCATGGATGCATCTGACCAGAATTCCACCTTGACGCGGATGATCTGACTAACAATGATGTCCAGAGCATGGTTGGGAAAAGTACTACAGTCTTCCCCCGAATACAACGCACGGTCATTATTGCCGAATTTGGTGCATCTTTCGGTCTAAATTCAGCTATAATGACCGTACGTTGTGTTCGGGGGAAGACTGTCGGCCGTTCGAACAAAAAATCGAGGACGATATCCTGTAGTGTCAGTCATATTGCTCTGAGACGGGATGCCCACATATGTAAATCGCTGTCAGGTTTTGCCAACAAGATAAACTGTGTACAAAACACCTCCCTTTTTTTTTCTTTTTTTTTTTTTCATTTCCCCTTCCTCCCCCCCCCCCCCCCCCCCCCCTTCCTCCCCCCCCGGAGCTTTTGACCAGGGATTTATCAATAAAACCCAAGATCCCCCCCACCCCTGTCTTTTTCCCCCCCCCCCCCCCCCCCCCCCCCCCCCCCCCCCCCCCCCCCCTTCCGGCCCTGCCTCCCATTCCCACTGGTCCACACCCCATCAAAGCCCAACCCACCCAATGGTATTTATTCAGCCAACGGTACCTGTTCGGGCTGACTAAGTGTAGCTGTGACAAACAAGGGCATGAAACAGACGTAACCCTGTCCGTCCGCTTCGGGAACGGCCTGCACAAGGACCTAACAATATCACCCTGTCCATCCGCTTTGGGAACGGACGGACACGGTTGCGCCTGTTTCAAGCCCCTCCGGAAAAACACCTGAAACGTTTTTTTGCCAGTCGGCCTGCACAAGGACCCACCAGAACGGTCCGTTTCCTTGTGTTGACGCGCACTCGACTGGCCAAAAAACGTTTCAGCCTTTCAGGTCTCTTTTCCGCTTGACGGCCCTGACTTGAAAATGCTCTTACATCAGCTTAGGCTGAGTAGGCTACACTACAATATCTCGCCGTTATGAGCGGTCCGTTGAAGTGGGAACCAATTAAACTCTAAGCCTAAACTGGAAGTTGCTTCAGAAACAGCATAAGTAACTCAAGGGTGGTGGCCGTAACGTAGTAGGGTACATATTATTTCCCGGCCATGTTTTACGCCTGGTAGTAGGGTACATATTATTTATTACATAATTGCACTTCAGGAAAGCCCGTGTGCGGTGTGCGCTCTTCTGCATGGTAAGGTTCCCACGAGAGAGTAAACGGAATCGAAGAAATCGAAGAAAAGTGAACCTAGGGGAACCTCCTGTTTGCAATTGACTGGCAAATGCCCAGGCATCTGATCTGTTTGGCCGAACGTCCATGTTCGTAATGCAGGTGGTCAGCCCCATGGGCCCCCAAGTGGTTTTGCAAAAAAAAAAAAAAAAGAAAAAGAGAGAAAAGTTAAAAAAAGAAAAAGAAAAAGAGAGAAAGAAAAGAAAAAAAAGGGGAAAAAAAAAGAAAAAAAGGTGGTGGTCAGGCCCATGCCACAGCGTTCAAGCACCGCATGCAGGAGCTAACATCACTGCCTGGCCCATCAGAACAGATAGTACACTATACTTTATCTATTTTTATCCAGATGGCCGAGAAAGGTATGATGGGTTTGTTCGTTCTTTTAGAAATCTTTTCATTTGTGCATTATTGATTTTTATCATGGTTGCCCCGGACCCGGACATCCAGACACCGGACACTGGGCCCGGACCTGCGTCTGGATTAATCCGGACGTCCGGTAATCCGGACACTGTTCTGGACATCCGGACCCGGACGGTCCAGTTGCGAATTAACAGGTCCAGATGTCCGGACTTAAAAAAAAAAAAAAAAAAAAAACAAAGAAGAAGAAGAAGAAGAAGAAGAAGAAGAAGAAGAAGCAGAAAAAGAAGCAGCAGCCCGACAGACACACGATGCTGTAGTTGTATGAGCCGACTTATCTTTAACACACACACACACACACACACACACACACACACACACACACACACACAC